TACCACTCCCCCGCACTAGACCTTCGATCCGCGTTCGCGACGCGTTTCCACTACCGTTTGTACACGTATAACCGGTGCTCGACTCGAGACGGGACGCAGGAGGACGGAGTACCCCAACTAATTTTCAGAAATTTCAGCGTCCCCCTGCGTTTGGAAACGTTCTTTATTTCAAAGTAAAAAGAGTCTCCCAATCTTTAATTTTTCCAAGTCGAGCGCTGCGTATAACCCGTGGCGGTGGATCTAGGATACTCGTCACGGTCGTTATAAAAACGCTAGTCGGAAGCACGGGTTGGCTCTTTTCGATTTTCATCAACGCCAGAGCGCGTTTACACCAAAAGCGCCCGGGGCTAGCGTAACCGCCCCTAGATCCGATAACAACGTAACCGAAGACGTGTTACGTATGTTCCGATTGTTATCTGATAACTGTGTTACGACCGATAAATACTCGTGCACTACGCGCTGGCAATAGAGATCGCGATTGCAAAAAATTTAATTTCTCACGGAACACGTGCTAATTATTATACCAACCGTTTTAATACACTACACGAAATCATGGTTGAACTTCTATTCCGAATTTCGGCCGTTCCAATGAAGCATTCCGACTTCAATAGTGGTCTTTTTTTTCTTTTTTTTTTCAGGTTTTCCTAGCGAAATTCTCAACTCTCAAAACCCCCTGCATTCACCGCGTGCAATACGCGCATATATTTCGCAACTGTGTCAAAATCGATGGAGACGATCTGTATCAAAAATTTAACACGTTACTTACAGGTGGCCGACGATTATTGTTCGTAACCAATGACAAAGCGTACGCATAATCGGCAATCGAAACTCATAGTTTACATGTATAAATATGTTTAACAATCATCGATTTCGCGTTAAAATATTATCATACAAGTGCGTAATAGTCGTGATACGCATGGTATACTTGCACAGCGGAAAAAGATTTGTCGATGTGTTTTGAATACCGAATGATTATAATTATTTTAACGCGGAACGTTGCGTATGTGTAAAATTGATCATTGGTTGTAATTATAAACAGTAGGTATCTGATGAAGTGCACGATCACGTGGCATCGTTCAATAAAATATTTAGTGTTTAGTGGTTGTACCGCGTGCAGTGTTCAACACATGGCCGTAAACATCGGAACCCGACCGCGGTCTCTCCGGATGGTAAACCTGATATACCAGAAATACCGGTGCAATGAAAAATTGAAAATTCTACGTACCAGTACATTGCGTGCACCGAAATGTACTCGCATATAAAATTGTATTTACATATATTATTTAAAATCCCGTTTCTGCAGGTCAAACCCTTTTACATCAAACTTTAAAAGCCTCGACGCGCCACCTTTTATAATAATGATTTATATGTATACATATTATATTCGTATATATATTTATTATACACTTGCCGGTCCGTGTCCGATTTTTTAACACGATTAGAGACGCGAATGGATCCTGTTCTGATACTTTACGTCGTATTGCGTACGACTTGTTTGTAGATATAATATTATTTTTGTTCAATAAAATCATACGAATTAACGGAGATAAGACGTCGAATTGACTTATGTACGTAACACGAAATTCGTAGAAGGTTTTGTAACATCGCAATCGAGTCGGTTAGAATTACATTGATATGAGCATGGTTTCTTTCTCCAAAAATATTGAACCGTGTACTTCGTTAGACGAAAACATTTTTAAAATTCAATTCTTCAAGTTTAACGCAGATCAGCCGGGATGGGTAAACTCGGTGTTATCGTAAAAATTCGATATGATCGCAAATCAAAATACATGTATGCAGGACCGGCGGAAGGAATGTGCGGGCTGTGCATTCGCACAGAACGGCAATATTGTAGGGGCAGAGATGTGTCCGTGGTTATTCTTGATACTTATAGTTTTTAAGACTTGAAATTTAAAATTTTCACCGCGTTATAAACAGACAAACAGATAATATCAAATATTTCGCAAATGCCAAGACTAGAAAAGTGTTTCAATAATAGTTAAAATCATTATTTTTATAATACTCATACAAATTATATGAATATACAATGTAAATAAAATAAATATATTAACCTGTATTAGTCCTCGCTAAGAATTAATATGTGATTTTAACTATATTATATTTAACTGTCCTTCCCTTCTTCCTAATAGACAACTTCTTTTTTTATTCTTATCTTCCTTTGGATATATGTTTAACTCCCGACTCTGACCTTCTCCTCAACTCCCGCTCCATTCCTATCATTCATTCCATCATTTATTTCATCAATTTCTCCGGTTACCTTATTTAATTGTATAATTATTAATTTATACATACATATTTATATTAATTTTTTTTTTATATTACCTTATTTTTAAAAAATATTGTTAACTACTTAAATTCTATGTATAACTAATTGCATTGCTGTAATGTTTACGAAAAAAAAAATTAAATAAAAAAACTGTAATTTTTATTTTTTTATATAATTATGAACATATAACTGAGATAATATACATTCACACATTACATATTATTTTTTGCACCAAACATACATAAACAAAACGAACCATGGGCCATACCCATGTGTATTGTAATTTGTTTAACTATTTCCCATTAATTATTTAAATTATTTCTAAGTTATCTCATAATAATTAAGGTAATTACAACTTGTTAAGTTACACGAGACCTGAATATTTATATAATTGTTTGTGAAACCTCTAAATTATTTGTGCATGAACAAAAAAAATGCTGTAATAGATTGATATTTTTATAAATTGACCCTACATGCTATATACAAAAAAAAAAAAAAAAATTGGCGTTACATAGTCGGGGAGTTAATTATTTTTAAGACTTTAAGATTTTATTCACGTTTTAAATAGAATAAATACGAATCCATAAATATTCGTCAAAACGGTATTCATTATCATAGTAGTTAGAAACTAAAAATGACAAAATTATTTGTAACCTATACATAATATGTTATCCGGACAATTATAGAAGCGCTAATTGAAATAATAAACCTAATTTTAACTATAGTGTTACGGAATCTAGAACAAAATATCTTGTACTAAAATATCCAAGTCAAAACATCCAAGGTTAAAATATCCAACGGATAAAATATCCAGGGATAAAATAACCAATGTATAGGACAAATTATCCAAATAAAAAAATAATAAAAATCTGTATATCTGTACATAATTTTTTTATTTTTTTATTTATTTTTTATTTAGATACATTTTTTATTTTCAAATCAAAATTAACATTATTTAATATTTTATAATATAGTAATAAAATAATAATAATAAAAATAAAACTATGTTACGTTGTATGATATAATATCTATATAGTAACGAGGCTTTAGTTATCGGTGTTATATTGCAATTACGTATATCATATCTGTAATCTATATCGTAGTAGATATTATAAATTAGTCCAAGCTATTTCTAGTTAACTAGAATTAACTCATAATGATCCAAGTATTTGGACACTAATAAAAAAAATGCGCATGGAGATAGCCGCCGACGAAACGAAAATTGCACAAAGAGGGTTAGGGACATTGGATCCACCATAAAAAAAACCAAAATATGTAAAGTTTCAAGAAAAACTTAAGCTAATTTGTCTTGAATATATATTAATGGTAAAAAGAATTAGATATTTTTTTAAGCGCAATAGCAAATATAATACGATAATTTATTACATACCTCTTTTTAAACAGATTTTTTTATAAATACATTTTGTCCTATTTAATCATTAATCATAAATAATTAACTTGAACTGACTATATTTATTTAAATATTATTTAAAACTAATACATAATATAGTGTAATGCGCCGCATACAACTAAAGGTATAATTATTATATAACACAACATATTATTTTTATTATTATTATTTTATAACTGTATTATATAATATTATTAATATTAAATGTTATTAAAATGTGATCTAAAAATGAACAATAATGTATTTAAATAAAAAAAATTATACAGGTATTAATAATACAGATTTTTATAATTTTTTTTTCTTTCGATATTTTATCCTTGGATATTTTGTCCCAATACCAGTGTTATGGTAGTATAGTATACGGTAGTTGAGCAGCAGAAAAACAATAAAAACAAGAAAAAAAATGTAATATAAGTGTACTTCACGCACAACGATAGCAGCTTATTTTATTATCATAATATTATAATGTATTCTAAGAAATACAAATTTATTAACATTTTAGAGAGTAGGAGGAGGAAAAGTGTTCTATAAGCTATGCATAATGTGTATAATAAAATGCGAGAAAAATTATATTATTTCGTTGAAGCTAATGACATTGTGTATACTGCAATGCTAATACGCGCGTGCAAATATACACAATGAAATTCATAATAAGATATTAATGTGCACGGGGGCGTCCATTAGAAAGGGCGTGGGAACGGTGAATATTGTCCCTTGGATTTTAAAATTTTAGTAAGTGACATTTAATAAATGAAAAAGTCAAAATTTTACATAAATTATCTTGCACGTAAACTTAATAGAAACACCACACAGTATTAACATAATATTATTCAAATTTATATTTTACCTATTTTAAAATGAACACTCATAGTCTGTTGTGTGAATAAACCGCCGCGTGTTGGACATAAAAATT